GCATAGAGAAAATAAAAAGAAACAGCATCCAGAGAACCATACCGAAACAGACAGGATGAGGTCCACACCCCTATCAGGATTTTTTCTGCAAACATCCCGAATTGATGCAGGCCATACTGATGCATATGTCTCTCTCATACTTTAATTCAGTGAGCAACTTTGGAAGCAACACTCCCTAAAATTGAGAAGAAGAAATGCAAAACCATAAGAACAAATCAGCAATAGAAAATGCGAAATAAAATAGAAAAATTTAACCTGCAAACTCCCAAAGGCACGGTCATTGGTCTCCCAAGTCTGGCAAAGTAAACGAATGGCTGTCGCATACAAAGTTCTGAACATCAAATGAAGGATTTCAAAAAAAATTAAAATTATTAATAAAAAAGAAAAATCCTCCAGAATGGTACATAGTACGTACGGTTTAGCATCTTTCTGAAGCATTGGCAAGATAGTCTGAACAACAAGAGGAATCATCATAGAATGTGAAGCAGGTGCAGGAAGCGTTGTCAAAAGTTTGGGCTGCAGCAACAGTTCAATAAAGTAATTATGAAAAAAATTGAGAAAAAAGAGCCACATAGAAAAGTAAGTGTGCCTCTTTTAATAAGACAAAAGGAATCCAGGATATGAAATGAAAACTCACCACATACCACAGCGACTTATATCTTTTCTAGTGAATATGTTATTGTAAAATAGGACAGCCAGCAATAGTTGAGCTCCTACTTTAGGATCCATTGTAGCAATGGCAGCCAATGAATCTAAAGCAGTACTCCCAAGCACCTCATGCATCACTAAAACCCCAGCAATTGCACAGAGTAACAAGGGCATTCCTACAAGAATGAATAGTGGAATACGTGAATATGATGCAAATGTTAAGTAATGATCAAGACAAATGCACCAAAGTTGGAAGAGGTCCCAAAGTATTTACCAGTAACGAATCTCTCTTGAGACTGGGAGAGAGGTAGAGAAGACTTTCGTCTGTCAACAATCCATAAAGTGTACTCTCGTAATTGAGATGGCCAAGATCTTGACACATCATGAATCTCTTTGCCATCAGTTCTACCACTAGAGGCAAAATTTAAGAAGAAACTCGACAATGAAGGATCCTGAAAAGCAAAAAGTAGAAATTTATAGAACCCAATCATCATTTGCTAGAAAAGAGTTGCAGTTTTATGTAACTTTTATAATAATTTCAATCTACATATGTTGTGGACAAAAAATATTTTCTTTCTTATTTTAAGACGGGGCTATGAAGACTACAAGATAAAAAACGAAGGATACTTTGATTTGCAAGAAAATTACAACACCCTTACTTCAACTAAGAAAATAACTCCAACAATGAGAGAGAAAATGAAAATACACCTGAAACCATTGACGCTGTAAGATTTAAAAACAATAGATCCAGGTGTGCTTAGAGATGGATATCCTGCTTCAATTGCTGGTTTATCCCTTGGTGCTATCAAAACTGTTACTAAGATCTTTTGTAACAGGACAAGCACATCTGTTGCTGCTCCTTTGACATATTTAGAAGTAGATGACAGTAGGCTAATGACAGGGAATATGAATTAAAGCTCCTCGCTCAGAGGACATGCATTTCTGTGAACAACATATTCTACAAGAGGAAAAAAATTCATATAAGCAAAAAGTTCAAACATTGAATGTGGGAAATGGAATCCAATTGAGAACACAACCAACAAAATGAACATTCTTTCTTAGTACAAAACAAATAAATACATAAATAAAAGTTAGATCCTAGTCAATATGAAGTCATTCAAGAAGAAATGCATAAGCTCTTGCTCAATGAGTAACACATGACAGTGATAGTAAAATAAGCTGGCTAACAATTCCTAATAGATTCTTACATGCACCAAGACCTATTAAAAAAACTGCAAAACGTAGATATTATCAAAGTTTCAAGAATAAACTAAAGCATACCATCTCCATACTTCCACTTCAAAAGAAGGTGGAGAAGTTTCAACTGTAGATAGTTGGTCATGCTCGAGCTCTGACTGAACGAGGATAATAAATAACGTAAGCATAGCTGATGATGCTTTAGGCACATAAGGCAACCCAATATCTTTCTGGGTAATCAATAAGTGCTTGGACATTTCAACTACGGGCTCAATCAAACCAGAGTGCATGTGGCCAGCTGAAGAAATTAAAAGAATTTTATCTAGACAGTTCCAAACCACAGTGATGAGCCTCAGCGATCAGCTGCCAACAAGGACAGGAACAAATGTGTTAGTATTTAATTATATAGGAAAAGAGAAAGGAAAAAATCAACCAAGACACAAAAAAGAATGATGAAACCACATGATTAGAACGGCTAAGAATATACCAATCCAGTTCCAGCCAAATTCCTCAGAACCACTGTATATGCATCGACCATACATTCCGCAAAATATATGAAATTCCTAAAATCCTGCAAATTGTCAATAATTAACCTAATGAGCATCGAGCCAAGAGGAAACAGTCGCCCCCCGCCGCCCGTCTCCAATAAAAGCAGAAGAAACCAATATATACCACAATATGCCTAACAAGTAAACTTACCTTTGAATTACTGAGTGGAACATAAACGAGAGAGTCTGTCAACATTTTCAAGACAGGCAGTGCATCAAGAGGAATTGAGCAACAAAGAGAGGCCATCGACGATATTAGATGCCTTGCAAACAAGGCCGAAGTCTCTGAGAAGGTATCCTTAAAATCGAATAATTCAAAAAGGGTCTTAAGAAGTCACAAATTCCCACCATTCCCAACTGCTTATTCTTTGCCATAAACAGCAAAACCTGCTGCACAAGTTCCGACTCAGCATCCGATCGGCATGACAGAATCTGTCAACCATTAAAACACACCATCAAGATTCCAACTCCATCACTCACTTACCAGCATTCTTATAAAATTCAAAAAATGGGCACAATCAAAACATTCAGACAGTAAGACTCTGTTTGGTTGCCTCAACTTTCCCAATAAACCAGAACTGAATTCGAATTACACTAAACCGTTAAATTCCAAAATTCATTCCGCAAAGTAGAATGCTAAGAAAGATTAATTCTTTTCAACCAAACACGGTCTTAAACCATTGAATCCAATGCACCTTAACAAACTGGATGAGTCTCCGCCGCGGAACTAAACGAGCACTTGCCATTGCTCCTCTGAAACCCAAACCGAACCAAAAAGCCCAAACCTTTGACGAAAAGGTCGACGAATTTCGGGGCGGACCCTTCGAGTGCGGACTGGAGCTCCAGAAACCCGCGGGAGATATCAATTTTGGAGTCCGCTACGAGGCTGCATAGCTCGCGAACCGATTGGTCGACGACGGCGGGGGAGGTGGAGTGAAGGCATTGAGAAATGGCTTCTCTTCCGGGTTCGGAGTCGGAGTCTAAGTACTTCGGGGCGGATCGGAGCTTCGAGAAGATTGAGATCACAGGCGTATTTCTGGAGCGACGGTTGGGGAACCCGCGTTTTCTCCAGCAGTGGAGTGTACGAGTCCATCGAGAGAGATGCAGAGAGAGACGGAGACGCAGCGCAAGTTACCGTTTCAGGGCGAGAAGCGCTAAGTTGAAACGACGTCGTGTCCATCTGCATGCCCATAAGGGCCATATTGCTGTGCCTTCTGTTGTCAAAATAGGGCCCAATTCCATTTTTCATTTTTCTTTTTGATTTTCTAATGCACTCCTTCTGTTGTTAAAACTTTTCATTTACTTCCACTGTTCGAAAAGAAGTATCACAAAACTAAAAACTAGTTGATAAACTATTTATTTAATTTAGCTTTACATGACACGAGCCATTCTAGAGTTTTGTCAACAAAAAAAAAATTAAGCATACTAGAGTCTTTTACGTAATTGTACTCGGTTTTTTCACAATAGTTTATGTTGATTTGATTTTCATATATAGAATTCAAATTACCTGAGTTCAATTCTTAAAACACGATTCTACAAAAATCTAACTCACAAGAATTATATACTATACTCAACTCTCTTCTACTGAACTCAAATTTTCCTGACTCACATAGTGAGTTTCGATTTTAGCTTATACAAACTAGAGTTAAAAGTTATGATCCAGAGTGGAAATCCTTACTACTTTGTAAGTTTTACGGTTTACTTAAAAGAGAAGAACGTGCACTCTTACAATTGGATTCATGTTCGAATTCCCCATCATGGCTCTCATGCATCAAACCAAGAATCTAGTTCACATCGAAGAAAAGGGGGATCTGGTCAGAATTTTGGCTTGTATCTCTTGGCATATGGGGAAGAAATCAATAAGAATCCCACATGATCTTTCTTTTATGGTAATGGAATATCCCTAAACATGTGACACATAACGAATTTCAATAAAATATCCCACTTAGTTCCTTTTTCAAAATTTGATGCGTGACACAATATAGAAAGTCACCCAAAAATGTCCAAAAAAAAGATTTACCTTGTTCCACAAGAATCCTTTTAGGAATTGTAGTATTTTTTTAGTTGTTCATGCCTTGTATCAAAGGATATTTTGGTAATTTAAGGCCAAGTATCCCCGTGCAAAAAAAGTTTCTATGCATTACTTGCAAAAACAAAACACTACAATAAATAAACTTCAATTTTGTCTGGGGATCGATCATACATAATTATACCTTATTTTCAACAGTTTCTCCAATATTCTGGTAGTCGATCAAGGTATGCTCTTTGTTTCAAGGTATGCTCTTTGTTTGTTTGTCCTTGTCTTAGATATCTCTCTGCAAAGTTTGCCTTATGTGTCTCGCTTTAGTTCTCCATATATGTATGTATGTTGGCTAGTATGCGTGTACCTTTTTTAGTTCAATACTGAAATAGGTCACAATTCGAAAGGAGTTAAATTTGTGTTGAGACTAGTATGCATGTATACATCAAGACTCGTATGTCTGGATTGATCGTTTCAAAACTTGATATATAATCAGCTGCTTAATCTATATTTTGTATGTTCTTTGTGTGTTCATCCTGTTAATTTCTTCTGGTTTGTGTTTTGTGGGAAACAGATACAATTTGTCAGTGAAAGAGAATCTGAGAGGAAAAGAAATTAAAGATCATATACATCTATGACTGCTGCTGGAATCCATAGTTAACTACATCCGTGCAGAATCCTCTTTTCTTTCCCATTGAAAACAAATCATAAGTAAATGTTGGGGCTTTTTTAGCTTCATGGTATATGCTCAGTAATTAGTATGCATGCGTAACATGTCGCATAGTTAATTTTGTGAGGTGAGGGACCAAAGCATGCAAGGGCTTATATGAGGTTGAGTTACTTCTCAAATTGTCAATTGGTTTTATAGTGGAACTTCAATTTTCTTCATGGTATCAGAGCAGGTTGGTCCATGTGTGAAGCCCCAATAGCCACACGTGCTCCACGTCATCCCGTTTGTTTTGTCTACGTGTTAGGCTTGAAAATTTGCCACACGCATGGAGGGCGTGTGAGGTGACGGACCAAACCATGCAAGGGCTTATAAATGGTTGAGCTACTCCCCATATTACCAATTGGTTTTATGGTGGAACCTCAACTTTCTTCAAATTTATGCTTTAATATTGCAACAAAAAAAAAAATTATGCTTCAATACCAAATTTTATGAATTTGTGATTCTGAGATCTATTTGGATTTTCGAGTGAACATATGGCTTAAAGGTAATTATGGAAAATTCATTAAGACAGATTGAATACTAAATGTCGAATTAATTAAGCGTGACGTTGGTATTTAAGTGCCTATATAGGTTTGACAAATGACAGCATCAACGGGTTAAATATGAATTATATTTCACTAGCTTTCTATTGTTTTTGGTAGTCTTTGTGTATAGCTAGGTCTCTACTAGCTGGCCGGAATGGGATACGTAGAGGAAATGGAATCCTTGTCCAAAGCAATTAGATACGACGATCATGGAGAACCAACTGTGGATTTTTATACTTCATGGCTGGTAACTTCATGTATACTAATTCTGTCTTAAGTTTAATTAATTAAATACGATCTGTGTTTAATATGACACTGGTTCAATGCTGCAGACAAAGCATCCGTCTGCTTTGGATGCTTTTGGACAGATGATGAGCGCAGTGAAGGGAAAAGATATCGTTGTGTTTCTGGATTATGACGGCACTCTCTCCCGTATCGTGCAAGATCCTGATAAGCTTTTATGACGGCCAAGGTAATCTATCATATAATTGAAATTTCCCCTATAAAACAAAGAACCGAAAATGAATTTTGAAGTTCGAATAACAGTTACTAATTAGTTGTACGTACATTTGCGGAGTTAAATACTATGCACATTCAAGTTTATTAGTTTATTGTCTTACAAGTTACTTGTTATTTGGAATGGATATAACTGCAGATGCGTTTAGCAGTGGATGAAGTTGCCTGTTGTTTCCCGACTGCAATAATCTCTGGAAGACGTCGAGATAAAGTAAACTTTTCGTACCTATATTTTGTGTTAAAAATTCTTTTCTTTAATGTTTTTCTTACATATATCTTGCATGTGCATATAAATATTATTTTCGCATGGCTTTAGGTTTATGATTTTGTGAAATTAGACAATATCTACTATGCTGGAAGCCACGGGATGGATATATCGACCCCTTCAGGCTCTTCAAATTACAGCTATCACAAGCATCAATCTAGAAGCACTGATGCAAAAGTAGGTCAAAATTAATATTTCAGTACATTTTTCCACTTAATTGCTTTATTATATATAATTTTCTGTTAATATTTTAGGGAAATGAATATGTTAACTTTCGTCCAGCATTCGAGTTTCTGCCTACCATTGCAAAGGTAACTCCATAGAAATAATAAAAGTAAGAAATTAACTTGTTTGGAAGTGCTTTTAAAATAACTGAAATCATTTTTAGGAAAATATTTTGGGAACTAATCATCTATAAAAATGTCATCCTTTAAAAAACACTTAAAAGTGCTTTCGCGAAGAAGCACAAAACTGATGTTTCTTGCAAAAACACTTTAAAGTGTTTTTGAAACCCATAAATATTTTCTCTAAAAGTGCTTTCAGTCATTTTAAAAACACTTTTAAGTGAGCCCTTAATTATTTGGTTCACATGAATCACATCCTAAAGAAGCTCATTTCTTATTCGATATATAACTTGCATGCAGATAATAAAGCTGTTAAAAGAAGAAACAAAAGGTATAAAAGGTGCCGTGGTTGAAGATAATAAATTCTGCATCTCTGTTCACTACCGATGCGTCAAAGAAGAGGTTAATTAATTAACACATTATATCTCGTAATACAGATAATTATATATTTAATTATCAAACAACTTCCACAGAGTTAGATAGCTAATTGTATTTGCATGGTTAATCAAAAAATGCAGGAAGTAGACACACTTAAAGGGATGGTGGAAACTCTGATGAAAAGTTTCAAAAACTTTCGCATATCAGGAGGAAAAAAGGTATATTGATATTGTAATTTTTATTTTGTTTGATTAATTTGACGATGTTTTCTTTCCCAATTAAAGCCTTTTAAATTTTGATAGTTTTTCGAATAGGTTGTGGAAATACGCCCAAAAATTGACTGGAACAAAGGTCGAGCCTTGCAATATTTGCTTGACACACCAGGGTTCTGCAGCTCCACTGATGTCCTCCCAATCTATATTGGAGATGACAAAACTGATGAAGATGCTTTTGAGGTGCATATATATATAGAGACATTGTGGGAACAGCCGGTCGTCCGGCTATCCTTACCGGCCAACCAGCCTTCCCTGTCCGACAAGGCCTTGCAGATTGAATACATTATTTAAGCTGTGATTATTGACAACAACTATGTGCTAATTAACATGATTAACTTGATGTGGATTTTTTTTACAGGCTATTAGGAGAATTGGAAGAGGCTTCCCTATTGTTGTTTCATCCACTCCAAAGGAGACCAAGGCTTTGTACTCGTTGCGTGACCCAACGGAAGTCACGAGTTTCTTGTCATGCCTTGCTGCATGGAGGAAAGACACCTGAATGCATAAAGTTGCAGGGATTTAGTGGGGACTAATTTGGATTAGGTACTAATTAATGGTTGGCTAACGATTCAAAGTTGGGATAATTTGAAAGAAGGTGTAAATAGCTTCTTTGAAAATATCAGAATAATAGCAGAAGAAAAAAAAAAAAAAGATAGATGTTTTTTTTTTTTTTTCTTTTTTTTTTTCTAGAAGGGCTAGTGTTGTATTTTTTTTTCGCTTGTTCATATTGGTTCTATGGCAATTTCATTCTTATACTAACATAAAAACCTTCATTATTTTTGTTTCTACCGTGTCTAGCTTGTAACATCTCATCTAGCGAGTGATGTGGCATCGCTTGTTAGCAATGATTGGATGTGGTTTTGCTTGTTGGTGATGATATTACGTGTGCCTAGTTTAGGTTCTTTGTGTTTATTGTATTTTGTGGTGGATCTAAACTTGTGGGCTTGTGCTCGTATCAGTAGTGCGCGCTTGGGGTAGCCAATTAGGAGATTATCTTTATACTTGTTTGTGTGAATTATCTCCAGATCATTGGATTGATCACTGAAGAGCAGTGGTGAAGCCAGAAATTTTCGAGGGAATGGGCGAAATTTAAAAGTGTATACAATGTTCCAAAAAAATGTAGACAACAAAATCCTTTTATATAGTAAAAAATTTAAGTATCGTTCATAATGTATCAATATAAACAAGTTACAATTGTTGCTGGCAATGTTTTATGTCATGAAAATGTTGCATAATAAGCTTATTATCAATAAAAGCAAAAACACCTCTCTTAGACCTGGTTTGGTACTGAGGTGATTCTGAAAAAAGCTGCTATCAAAAAAAGCTGGGAGCTGTTTTTGTGTTTGGTAAACACTCAGTTTCAGCTTTTTTTCACAGTTTTGGATGAAAACAAGCCAAAAACAAGAAGCTGCAAAACCTAGCTTTGAAAAACCAGCTTTTTTTCACATCTGTTTTACATAAAAGTTTACCAAACACTCTAATACTACTTTTTTTTTTTCAAAAGCACTTTTACAAAAAAGTTTACCAAACACTCTGCTGCTTTATTTCACAGCTGCTTATTCTCACAGCACAGCAGAAGCAGTTTTTTTTCAAAGCACAGCAATACCAAACCAGCCCTTAATGTAAACAACAAAGCTATCATCATTGATCTCCTTTTTTGTTATGCAGTGGTGTTTTGAGAATGCTTACAGCAAAAAACATTTTCTCTACTAAAACGGTTGGAACCGAGAATACCAAAGTCAATGTAAGAAGTTTATAAACCAAAGTAATCACGAATCTTTTGAGTGTCAAAGTCTAGTCGGAATCTCTTTACGTCTCCGAGTGAGAATAATTACCAAAAAAATGTGCTTTAATTTTGTTGACATGTCGAGACAAAAGTATTGAAACTCGTCCTTTTGTAGTTGCCCTCTTCCTGTTATTGCTTCAACCCCAAATTGCCCTCCTTTTTCTCTTGTGGCTGCGACTCAACCTTTTTTTATATTTTATTTTATATCCACTAGCCCAATTTTTGGGCCTAACGCCATGATTGCAATAGCCCAGGGCCTTATTCTTTTCTTTTATTTTTTTAAAAGCTTCTAGCCCAAAATTACAATAGCCCAATGCCTCTCCCATTTGCTCATGCTTTCACACACCCGCATCGCCAGTTTTCCTTCGAGCTTCAAACCCCATATGCATATGAGATTTGCGAGGTGCAGGGGTTCGAATAGGCAGAGGAGAACAGATCGCGAGTTTGGGTTCTGATGGCTGAAATTCTTCTTCCTCCTCTTTTAAGATTTTTGGAATTTTGTCCCTCACGGCGCTGCAAGTTTTCCGGACGAAACCGGAGGGGTGGACCATAGCTCCTAGGCTTAATTTCTGGCAAAGGGAGGGGCAACTGCCCCTCCTTGCTCTTATGTAGCTTTGCCAGTGCTGAAAAGTAGAGTGTGTGGCAACCTTGTATTCTTGCCAATCGCACGAATGTTACTATTAACCCATGTAACTAATATTCAACTTCCTGAACATTTTTATTTGTTTGGTTGTATATATGTTTTAGGGTAAAGTTCTAACATTATCCATATCGGTTACCAAAGTAGTGAAACTGTCACCATGACAACCAACCTATCCACGGCAACATCTAGGCCCCAGTAGCATCGTTGGAGCTCCACAATCAAATGCCTCTTGTAGCTACATTTGTAGGATCCTGAAGCACTTCAACAATAATGTCACGTCACCGTATAGCAAATAGTTTACGATGAACTCAAAGTTTACCGGGACAACAATAGCAAATAGTTTGGGCGACAATAAATTTCTCACTTAGTAGGTGGTATTATGATGGAATTCATCCCACCATGCCATAAGAAAACATTCTTTCCCATAAATTATGATCACCATGAGTTTCTTGGTACAAGCTCGTAGAACAAAAATATAGGTTGGGCGACAATAATGATGGATAATAACAATTTTTGGGACAGTGACACTCATGAAATTTCGCGAAAGGTATGCGACAAAGAAGCTACCACGGGAATTCCGCGAACGATGTGGGCATCAAGACATATGGGACAGTCATGCTGGAATAAAGTTGTAGTGAAGGAAGGTGTAAGGGCAATTGGGTGTTAATTGGCCGGATTGTCTTGGATCCCAACTTTCTTCATAAGTATTCTTTGAATTCTTTTTTCAGTTTCCTCAAATATCTTAACATAAACAAAGCAAAAGTGATAATTAATCATAAATGTTTAGATATAACACAATTTTCATCTCACTTTATATGCATTCAATGATTAAAAAAAAGTAATAGTTGAAGTACAACTCGATATTTATTTTCGATTTTGTAAAATAAATCTGTGTTTATTTTGTTAAATAACTTCATATAATTTTCATTTTCAAAGTACTTCATGAAATATTTGTCTACAATGTACCATGCATGGTCATCATTTAGGCACAGAAACGTCTTGCGGTGTTAAATTACAACTTAGGGCCACAGAGCTTGGGCCCAATGCACCCCGCTTTACCCAAATAATTCGGCCCATTTTTAGAACGTCCACGTCCACATAAAGATTCGGGTTTGAAATATCGTGACCCGTTTATAAACCTGACAAAGTATAAACTCGAGTGAGACTCCGTGACCTCCCGTCACAAGGATGAAGACGTCGATGACAGAGTTCGACGACGAAACGGTGCGCAGCATGGCCATTGACGCCGGTTGATGATTTTGTTTTTACATTGGAATATTTGCTTACGACGGTTTTGTGTTGTTAAATTGAACCTGTTGTTGTTAAAGAGCGACCTCAAGCCAACAAGATTCTTTGCTTTGCGAGAGTTTGGAGAGCATGTCTATCTACGCAACCTTACCTTTATTTTGTAAAGAAGTTATTTTAACTACTCGAACCCATGACCTTTAGATCATAAAAAAGCAACCTTTCTGTTGCACCAAGCTCGCCCTCACCTTGATGTTGTTAGTTGAAGAAATATATATTCGTTTGTTTGGAGTTGAATGTTGGACTGCACGACCGTAGTAATATTTCTGTACTGGTTTGATTGCATTGCTTTGATGTACCGCTGTTATCAGCGATGTATGGTATCTAAGCGTGTTCCATGCCATGGTTTGTTGTAGCGGATTTCATTGATATTAAACAATGAGCATGTCTTTGTGCATGGAACTGACTATACTTAGTGCTTGTCCACTTTCAAGTTGTTTCCTTTAATCTGAAATTTATGTTTTATTCATGAACTTCAGGTTGATAAAGACCACAACTCATAAGAAACATGGAGCAGATCGAATATGCTTTACCCATCAGGCCATCACCCAAGTTCTGTTACATGCTCTTCAAAATACCATCTGGATACCGCCGGAGGTGACTTTTTTATTTATTTTTATTTATTTATTAATTTATTTTAACTTTTCATTCATTATTTAACTTCTAATTTCTGTGGCATTGTTTTCTTAATGATTCCGTCTGTTTCTCTACCAGAATCACTGCGTTTATCTGTCAATATATGATAATCGATGCCTTCGCTACTTCAAAGGACATAAAGAGAGGTTTGGATCCTTTGAACTTCTAGTACTTTAACAGTAAATATAAGGATTTGGAACACTTTTCATATGTTTATCATATAGAAATGCTTGTTGTCGTTAGTTGCCTATTAATTAAGGCAGTAGGATCCATACGTTTAACTGAATATCACTTTAGATGCTAGTATTTCGCAGTTTATCTCCAAAACTGCCAGTATTTTAGTTGCTTGAATTCTCAGAAACCCTTACGTGATGAAACCATGTGAGAGGAGTCGGTTTAAATAATCGAATAATGGTGAGATAAACTTATCGAATATGGACTCTTATCAATTGGTATTCTCTGTAGGTGGCATGCTGGAACAGTTACATCGGAGTTCCATCGTGCTTGAAGTGGGCACCTCGCAGAGCCATGTTCGCCGCTGCATCAAGCGTTCTCAAGGTTTGGATACCTAACGAAGTAGCCATGTTCGTCACTGCATCAAGCGTTCTCAAGTTTTGGATACCTAACGAAGCAAACGAGCCTACTCACATGGAGACCGAAACTGGTGGTGCCGGATCCGAGCATCCTCCTCAATGAAAACCCTTTGGTCTGCCCTACCACCGGAAAACCGATTTCATCGGGTTCCGATAACTTCTCGAATTTTGTATTCATTTGTAGCATAAGAGTATAGTCTAGCATACTGTAATGAGTTCGAATTTAAATGTAACATGACAAATATAACTTCTTAATTGTGGTTTCAGAGGAGTTATTGGTTCTCTTTATTTATCTAGCTCGGAAATCGGACGGGTTCATTCGATCGATCGATCGATCGATCGAGAGAGAGAGAGAGATTGCACAAACGGATATTTGCAATACAATAGATTGGAGAGCATACGATAAACACAACAATGCAAACACACACAAGAACTGCCAGTCTACAGGCTGCCGGCTACGTACATCAAATTACAGAAAAAACCAGAAGTTTTCCAACATTATTTCCCTTCCATTTTCATATACAAGCAACCTCGTTCGTAAAAGTCGAAAACCTCTCAAATATCTTCCATTCCATTCCCTTCAACGACTTTCAGTATGTCCGGTTTGCCTCTTTGTTTCGTGGGACTTACTCTGGATGTCCTGCCCAACCTCCTTTGTCTTCTGCCCCACGTACTCTCCCATTTCCGCCGCGCGCCTCTTCGCCTCGTCCAGGGTCTCCGGCACCACGGGTGTCCTCCTGATGTAGTTGGTGATCCAAGACAGCGCCGACAGCCCAGTCAGCCCAAAAGCCCCGGAGGTCAAAAATCCGGTGACAGCAAGCCCGATGACGAAAAGAGCAGGGACAAGAACCGGGCTGAAGATGATGAAGAGCGGGGTCGCAACGAGAGCACTAATGACTGTCCCCAGGAGAGTGAGACCAGCAAGCGCTAGTAGGGTTCCACCTAATGGAAGGCCGGCTATCACTGCAAGAACTTGGCCGGCTGAGGGGCCACCGCCACCAAATCCTCCATGTTCACCCCACTCGTGCTCGCCATAGCGCGGCTGGGCGGGGCGAACTTGGATATGGTGTGGCTGAGGACGGTCTGCCATTGTTGACGAGAGGTGGATGGAGAGAGAGAGAGAGTTTAAGAGAAAGAGAGCTTGGAGAACTGTAGTGGAAGGATAGAGATGGAGGAAGAGGAGGTGGCGAGGTGGTGGTTTTATAGGAGATGAGGCGGTGACACGTAAGGTTTGAGAGGGTGAGTTGGGGCTTTGCATGAGGAACAAGTTTCACTGTTTCGAGAGATTTTTCAATGTAACCGATACATGGAGTGGTACATTTCATATTATTATACAAATAATGGGATATGTGTGCTAAAATGTTAATAACTTACAAAATAAAATTTCCCACCACTTCTATTAAGATAAGTGGTGTACCACTTGTGTTTCCACCACAATTGAAAATTTCTCCATTGTTTCAGTGCAGTTTTGGGAAATTAGAAAAACAAAAATTATATACTACTGAACCGGCGTTGTCTTTGTTGCCATGTTTTGCGTTGGGTAATATCAAGGAGGACAAATTTTTTAAATTAAATTGCAAATTAAATAATGTGTCATTAATAAAAAACAAGTACGTTAATCGACATTTAATTAATAATATTATCATCTACAACCACATCGTTTAATTTGCAAATTTAATTAAAAAAATTTGACCTCCCTAACATTACTCTTTGACATTCGGTTCTACCACTTTATTTTGGTGCCTGTTGTTTTATGAACGGGCGTTACTCGCTCGAGTTTGCCTGTGCGTGTTGTATATGTGGAGAAATTTTTAGTTGTGACGGGAATACGGATGGTACACCATGTGTTTTTAAGCAAGTGGTGGAAAATTTTAATTTTTAAGTTATTAACCTTTTAACACACATAACCCATCATTTATATAAGGCCACGTGGTGTACAATCTCGTGTGACGGTCATACTGAAAAATCTCTTGTATATGTGCACCGAATTGCTTTTTTATTTTTAATTTATTTTTTGAGTGGAGAAATGCAATTTCAGTTGCAAGTTTTCAACTCATAAATTTCCAACAAAAAATAATTAAACTCATAAAAAATGCGAATCCAATGTTCACATGCAAAAAAATACAGAAGATCCACATACTTGCTCTACGTAGAGCATAGCATTAGCATACACGTGAATCAATTCATCTATTTACTCATTATGCTCTAATAATGTTATTTGTAAAATCATTTTGTGTTATTATTCACTTTGAAAATTATTAGGCTTACGTGACGTGCAAGCTGAGTAATTATTGAGTTAATTACGTTCTTCTAGTGAACGCAACCAAACTCGATTGAGTGAGTAGAATAGATGTGGTGGCAGTGTCGAATGCATTGTAGACTTCTGCACTTGAGCAACTACGCTCGAGGAAGGAATGCCTATCGACCTTGGGTTCTAGAACCTGAAGACAAGGTGTCTTATTCACTGCGAAGTTCATGATCTTGTACGCCAAGTTCGGTTGCTTCAACTATATTGGTGAGAATATACGTGTGTCGAATCAATAGCATGCTGAAAGGGCAAAGATGCTCAAAGGAGATGAGTGTTTATATGATGAACGTGGTCCAGCCATCTGAATGCTGAACTATGAAATGCACTGAGAGTAATCGATCATAGAACGCTTCACTTTGATGAGAAACTAATAAATTGACCTCTTTAAGCGAAAGAATAGATAACTCTTCACCGGAAGAGATTTGGATAGATAACCAACCAGCCAAAAGCAGTATTGCATACTTGTCCAGACTGAAAGTGTTGCTAAATCGTTTGATTCTTGCTCCAGCTTATTCAAATTGAAGATGTCGCCGGTTGTCAATACAATGTTGTTTACTTATTCAAACCGAACCGAAGACGTGTTGATGAGAAGGTTAGGATAATTAGTGTTTTCGTGTAGAGCGTTTTGAGTTGTTTGTTGAGTTGAAAGGGCTTCTCACGTTGCATAACATTTTCTATTTATAGGGATGACTCATTATAAATAGGCATGTTGAGGTAGAGTCTTGATAGGACTGTGCCTACTCAGCATTTACCTCGATATTCCCTAATTATCCCTTCCTTAGCGGAGATTCAATATTTATTCAGTCTTGACTTCTTTGATTTGAACAAGGATTCTGAGCCTAGTTCCATTATGCACGTGATTCATCCTTACATGATCAAGCATGAATTATGATTCTTTGGATAATTCACATTTATTAGAAACACATCCTGATCCTTTCCTTAGTAATTCTAATTCATCTAGGACTCGACCGAATCATGCTTGAGCTTTATCCTTTCATAGTCATATTTCTATAGGGACTCGATCGACAAGTACTTTCTTGCATTGAAAGCTTACAGACCTGAGAAATCATTAATGGACTGAGAATTATGGCTTTTTCAAATCAGATTACTTATTCTTAGCCCAACCTGTAGTTCAGGCCAAACAATCACACTCGCTTAGTAGTGAAAGTGAGTAAATGACGGTTGAGAGTACGATAAGTTTAGTGTTGAAAATTCTTCAAGGTCCGATAACTGTCATGTTATCAAAAGCTTACATGCAAAAACACATCATCTTTCAATTTGAGTGAGTTTGAGCTGAAATGAAACTTGAAAGTCAATACTGCCCTTGCTGTTCTGCATAATCAATAAGGGTAGAAACGACATTGTATATTTTTCATATTCGCGAACAAACCCCACAGTGGTTTGTCATATTTGGCATTCCAAGCGTGCCACGACTCACGTGCGTCAGAGGACACGCTTCCCCCTACGCCGCCTTCTCCCCTCACCTGCAATGGCGAATCCAGCTGAAAACCCAGCAATGGAAACTCCGTACCCAGCAACTCCTTCTTCTTCTTGTTCCTCTCCTTATACTCCAAAACCAGAGAACCCAGCACCCCAAAGCCCCTCACCGTCACCGGCACTAGCATCAACGGCGAGGCTGTGGAGACCCACCGCGCAGAGAAACCTGAGAAATCAATGGCCCAAGTTATCTTCTTGCAGACAGCAATGGGCTTCTTCTTCTTCCACTGCAAGATCACACGCCACCTCTCTCGTAAACTCGTATCTTTCTCTCAAGTAGGTGTTTTACTGCGTCTGTAAACATTTGATTTTCTAGGGCATGTTTAGGAATTCAATTTCACGCTTAAATTCCCATGCTTTTTTTGTTTAAGTTTTAAATTTTCATGCTTTTTGCTTAGAGCTTCAATTGTTCAGAGTGAGTGTGACTGACTGACTCTCTGTGTGTGCGCGCGCGTTTTGCTTCAGATACATGCCTTCAATGGAGTTGGGAGTTCTGAGTGATATGCCTAATATACGAAAGAAAGCTTCCAGAAATTATTTAAGCAGCAGGTAATGTTAACAAGCATGCAGCTTTTAGCCTTTTACACGACCGCTTTTACAACACTTGCAACATTGATCATGATAAGCACTGCTCTTGTGTTGTAATACTTTCTTAATTTCGTTTCAGGAGCTTCATCGAAGCGGACTTTTATCCTCGTACAAGGACTTGGTATGCATCTTCATCATTTTACTAGTATTTTTAGTAAATTGTGTTATCTGAAATAGACAGCATGTGGTTTGTATTGACTCAAAACGTCGACGACATTAATTTTAGATGAATGTCAATACAACATATGAGTTTTCAGGATCATGTCAGACTGATTCATATAAGCAATTTGGACTTATAAGTTACTTAATAACATGTATGGTTTGACTTCTCGGGACGGTTATCAAATTTTATGATGTATAGTTGCATACTGAATGAAGAAAGGATTTTCATTTTTTAAGAGATCGTTTGGTGCTTTCATTTTTTTTATTTTGTTTGTTTTATCACTATTATCTCCAGGTTTCAGTTGTAACTCACATGGTCCAAACTAGTAGATCCATGAGATGCTTTGTCAAGGGGCAACCAATAATCCACTCGTACAATCTTCTGGCTGTTCTGAAGATAAGAATGATCCCGGAGATGGTGGCGGAATTCCAGTCTTTGCATTTTGGTCCATCTCTTGCTTTGGTTCGTTAAATTAAAGACCCTCTTACATCTTTTCATGTGATATTGATTGATCATGTGCATATGCTTGGTTTTAGTTTAAGTCTATACATTTTTTTCTGTCACAATGGGGTGTGCCTTTTCACTGCCCGATCTTACAAATGTACATGAACATGTTCGTGGTTCAGAGATTCCACTTTTGTGATGAGTTTCTCTGGTCATCCAACATTTTTTAAATAGTTTGAGATGTTAAGGGAACTATGCAAAATCTCAAGTGAAAATACAATAGAGGTTAAGACAGCTAGAGAAATAGAGTATATCAGAGGTCCTTTGACCCAACCTGCCTTTACTAGCAACAATGTCCTTTGGTATTGTACGGTTGGTAAAGCACTAAACAGCCACCTAAATCAGTAAAAAAAATGCGTAAAGCTAAGATCCTATAAGTTTCATATGATTCTAAACTCTGATTGTGGAAACAATCTCAGAAAAACTGGCGGATGAGCTTGTCCAGATGTTTATATTGGAGCTAAATTTGAAGGTAAGTTGTCACTCCTGGGCTGCTATGGTATCTGGTCAAATTTCTGTATGTTCTATGTTACATTTTATGTCATTGTGTTGTTTTGTCCATGCAGCGTTTGGTTGTAGTGGAATTACTTTCAATTAGTTGTGATGTTCCAACAGTAAACAGTTTGGATTGGTCGGATGAGCTTTATCCGGGAGAATTTGGTGAGTTGAGTATATGCAACTTATATGGTGAGGAGACTTGTAAGCCAATCTATCCAAGATTGGATGATCAGAAATTCGAAATGCGAGCTGCACGATGTAATCAGCAGCCAGATCATGATGTTTTGCAGGTATGGATGCTATTGATTAATGCAATTGGTAATCCTGAAAAATATGTTTGTGCTCAAATTGTTTCTCATTATCTTCGTATTTCTCCAATACATGTGGAATTTCCTAGTCAGGATATACAGCATGAGGGATACGGGTTGGTCTGAAATGATTTCTTTTATCGATTTTAAGAACTGAGACTGACACAGATAATTCGTAACATGTTTGAAATAGTTATTCACTTTTCATCAAAGTGAAATAGAATGGAGTCGCACATTATAGTCGAATAATAAATTATCAAAGCTTGGTATTTCCCTTCATGGATCTCAGTACCTCTAAATCAATTTGATTTTTCAGGTTTATCTAACGACGTGGATTGCAGAGGTGAATATAGACGCACACAGGTAAGAATGATCTCGGTGTCAAAGTTTAGTTCAGACATTTTACTTTTGTTTTGAAAATTCATTTATGAGAGGTTTGAATAGATTCTTCTTTTAAAAAGGGTGGACGAAATATTTGCGGAAGTTGGGGAAGAAATGCATGTTAGGATTTCATGAACTGGCGGTCTGGCTAGAAACAGAACGCCGGAAAATTTGTTAAGGAGGTACTTATGCTGATAGACTGAAGATTCAATACTCATTTGAAGCGTCCCTCACGACTTATAAAGAAAGAGAAAGTCCTAAAAGACCCGGACTATGGCCAAAGAAAGAATCTTCAAATGATGGAGGCATCTACAGATAAGGAATCAGTGCAGAGAAATGCTGAATTATATTTCTCTAGTTGTTTATGTGCATGTTGGTAGGTAGCACGACTCGCCAAAAACCAGAGTAGCACTTGTAATTTTGGTGTTATTGACTTGATTAATTTTTGTATTGGTTTTAATCATTGCTTAAACGTCCTTTGAGTTGATCGTGAAGGTATATTACCGGTGTTATAGGCACCGGGATGATCTCTAGAGGCCTCTCCTACTGTTCATTGGGCATGCTTAAGTTCACTGTATGACTTGGAATATCGATAAGTGGGGACCCCAAACTTGGGTAACGCAATAGCCCCTTCTCCTGCCGCACTTTCTCTCACAGCAACACACACACCCTTTGTTTTTTATTAATCAGACTTCATTCATGTTAATATGACAACTTTCTATCCGTTAACACCACCTCTTATCCGATAGTTTAACATGTCTGATTATGCATCACTCATAACGTGTTAAAATTCTAACAAATTCAAATTTATACATGTACAAGAAGTGATGAGAGAAAGGATATAAGAAAAAGAGAGAGCTTGTAATTTGTATTATATAATTTTATATAACTAAAACAAGAAAAATAGGATTAATGACTAATATATATGGTGGGCCACATTTCAAGATCAATGAAAATATTATTTTTCACCAAAAGCTACTTTGGATATAGCCTAAGGTAGCCTTTAAAGTCGCTCCGCAAGTGCATACAGTCATACCCAAGATTCTCTGCTCTTAGCCGCCTTAAATACTTGAGGCTTTGCCACGGTGACTTATTGACATCGTAGAGCGTCTAGGTGGTGATGAATGTGAGATTGAGATCCTCTTTGGATCTCACACTCTGAAGCTGACGGACGTAGTAGTCTGTACTGTTCAAGAGAGAGAGAAAGGTGTTGGAGAGAGAGACGGAGGCGTGATTCTAAATGTGAGGTGAGCTAATGAAATAAGACTAATGGGAACTGCAAGATTTAAATTAAATAATCAGAATAATGAGGTCTGTCAGTTTAGAGGGTGAGATCCAAAGGTGATCTCAATCCACGAATGTGTTCCATGTAAGCTTTGATGCACATGTCTAATCAGTCTGTCAAAGAGACTGCGATTTGATTCGGCCGAACGAAGGCTGGCTTGTCAATTCTTGATGTTGGGCCTTTAGGATCACTTTTTGGGCGGTTTGTGGTGGCCCAAACATCTGGAGAGCGATGGACATGACCTGGGATAAGAGCTATCTCACTGCCCCAAAATAGAACGATTACGACGTTTTTTTGACGCTTTTCTTCTGTTACGCGTGCTACTTTTTGCAATGCTAAATGAGAGACATATCACATATGAAGTCTTCTTTTCATGTCATTTTTCTCATTAACCTATAGCTTTCGTTGTGTCATCGTCTACAATATTTCCTGTCACGGGAATGATACTCTCCTTCTCTAAGTCTCTCATCAACTTTCACTACGAGAGAACGAGAGGTGCATAGATGGAGGTTTTTCCGTGACAGAGAAGTTTAACCGCACTCTCACATGTCAAAGAGTGCGATTGTCACAGTATGTATGCTGATATTGTACACAGTCGTCCTTGTAAATATATACTATACTATGGAAATCTTATCCCAATAATGTAGGTAAAATGAAAAGATTAGACAATCTTTGGTGTAAAAGCAAAAACCCGACATCAAAATCTTTGTGCCTACTGCTAGTGCTATTCAAATATATACGTACTACTGTCGAACCATGAGCAGCTACTAGTGCTCTAATGAAACCTCCCCCAGCTGCAAGCATCAACATCAGTTAAAAATATGCATGTGCACGGGACAATGTTACTATTACTTAAAGAATCAAAATTCCAAGGGTAGAATCAATTCAAAGGGACAATACCTTAGGGTAGTCGGACAATACACGTGGTCTAGCTACCCTAAGGTATTGTCCGGCTGCACTCACAAAAACAAAGACACGGTATTTTGATGGTCATATCAGATCTCACTATTTTTACTCTCTTTATGAGTGTTGCCCTACCGAAGATTTGCTCTATTCAAAACAAGACCAAGAATAGTAACCCTGAAGCATGCATATAGAAACTTTGAGGGGTAGCCACTTGATTCGGATGTCGAAGGGGACATGATGATTAGTAAAAGCATATGGTAAATATAATAACAAAATTTTATTCTAATAAATAAGGTAGGTGTATGAATCCTAAAACGATACAGCTATCAATTTTACAAAATTTTTTGTTAGCTTCAAATACTTCATATATTTTCTTTAAAGTGTTTCTCAAATCTTTATTTACTTCTTTGCTACAAATTTCTGTCTCATTATCGTTTTTTTTTTAACTAGAACATCGGTGGATTTTGGTGAAAATCCAAATAATAGTTAAGAAAGATGGGTCCGACACTTAAATGATGTATCTATGAAGAGAGAAGGGTACCCTTCAATAATCTTCTGTCACATGGGCAAGGCAAACAATCCCTTTTGTTTTGTGGATCCTAATTCATAGAGAGTAGGCATCATCTGTGCGACTTACTGTACCTTTTCTTCAGAATTCAGACAGTGACGGTGACAGTAGTACTGTACAGACTTGCAATGTTATAATGGGCAAGGACCTGAAATTCGCAAGCAGTAGCTATACATAATTAATTAAGGTTAAAATATCTTTGTTTTTGGGGTGAAGAAGTCAAAATTTTTACAGTGCTGCCATGTGTGTCTGTCTGTCCCTTGAAAAATTTGCAGACTCTGATTACTGACAGTAGATATGAAAGTTGTGAGAAATATTTGATAGAGGCTATAATATAATAATACTTTGGATAATTGAATACTCCTTTACTTAGTGTGGTTAGATTTAAAGAAAATTAATGAAAAATATTTGAAAATTTTAAGTTTTAACAATAAGAATAAAATAAAAGATAAAATAAATAGTATTAGAATTAACTTTTTAATGTAAAATTATAGATTTTTATTAAAATAAATAGTACTAAAAATATTCTGTTAAAGTTATTTAAATTTAATCGGCCAATTTTAAACATCTATTGAATTGGAACTAAAGGCTATAAGCCTATAAGTGGCAGAGTATTGTTAATTTTTTGCAATTGATGCGGCAAAAAAGCTAGGAATAAGAATATACCACACAACCACCGGTGGTCCATTTGTTCACACTTGTAATAGACCTGATACAATGCATGGATAGGGAAAAGGGAAAGGGAGCCCATATGTTGGGTGGGAGACGAGATGTTTCTTTTCTCCCTTTCGCTGTGTTCATTGTTCGATCAACATCAATTAAATCAAGTTTATAGAAAAGAGTTTGTAGTTTAAGTAGTTTAACACCGTTTCATGCATTCAATATTTGGTTTCTGACTTTTTGTTTTTGTTTTTAATGTTGCTTGTATAAAAAAAACTGCAGGCACCAACTATGCCAAGATTAGACTCCCAAATTAACATCGAAAGCACTGTGTTTGTTTACCACATTCGATCTCAACCTACCTCGCGTCGATCCAGTCTTTAACTAGAAGTAGATCAATAATAGTGGATTTGCAAAAGGTGCTTTTCACTTAATATTAAGGTTCTTTCTAATACACCAACATATTTTCCTAAGAAATTTGTCTAGAATTCCATGTTAAGTAATAAACAACACAATAAGCTTAATGATTAGCATGTCTCTTCATCTTCAACACATATACTTAATGCATATATAATCGGGCCAGCAATATTTATAAAATGCTTTCAATATTATATATCACAAGAGAGATATACAGATAGATACACAAGGCTTTCCACAGAGTGTAGGATTCATATTACTAAGACCTGTATATATGGATACCCAGGAGAAACCCTAAAAAACCAGGTCTACTCCTTATAATTATTGACACATACAACATACATGAAGCTACTTTATTTCCTCTCTTTGGCACATTTAACACAATAGACTAGAGCACTGTACTCTACTTAAATTTATATATCTCCTTCTCCTTCTCCTCCTCTCTCATAATTTCTTTCTCCATAAGCATTTCTATTCCATGATGGAGAAAAATACGAACCAGAATTTTGACCTAGAGACCCTCCTCCACGAACCCTACTACTACTAGACCTCTCGGACTGAGATGTTGGCAACAATATTTCATGGTTGTAGCTGCTGGCATACCGGACGAGATCCGCATTTGTCTCGTCCAACTCCTTCTGAAGGCGAATGACTTGCCTTTGGAGGACTGAGATGGCTCCAACACATCCGTAGACAGGATCTTTCATCCGAGCCTCAGCTTCGTAGGCCAAAGAGTTCACGGCATCTTCTCTCTGGTGGGGGTGGACTTCATTGAGAAGCTTACTCACATTACTTGCACCAAATATCTTGTGAACATTGGCAAACTTTTGGGGCTCCTCCGGTGGGAAATAGGGAGCAAATATGCAATCCGGCATGCATTTTCTCCTCAAGAACTTGCACGCAGCACAAGGAGAATTTGTATAACTACTCGTACTCGATGAAGCCATCTGATCCTGCAGTACTGCACCAAACTAGGACTTAAATTCCATTAAAATAAAAGACCACCAATTATGTTTTCTTTGGTACGCATTACTGGACAATGAAGTCACCGAAATTAAATCTTAGTTGCATGAACATTGAGAGATACGAGCGAGAAACTCTTCTAAAAATCTTATCTTAATTCTCTATCTTGACATGAATCTCCTAATTGTGTCTACATCTCGTCTTTTGTGTAGGAAAAACAAAAAAGGTTGAAGTTTTCTTGTTAAACTGAGATCAAAGGTGATCCTGCTGAATTAAATAGCTAGTAATTAAGTAGGAAACCGCTTTATATTCAGTTTGGAGATACTAGCCGACATTTAGCACTTGCCGAATCAAAAACCTAAAACATAGCTGCTATAGCTGCATGATTTTTTTTTTTTTTTTCTGTTCAATTTCAAACTTCTTTACTTTTTTGCCAGACAATCAGCAGTCATTCTTGAATTTGAATGCTACTGCATGTTTTGAATATTGTTACTTAAAAGCTGTTCAAAAACCCTACAAATATTTTAAATTTCGAAAATTCCAAATGAGGGAAACCGATAGAAAAGGCATGAAAATCAAAGTTATACAGAATTGAATTTGTTAAGTACTCCATAGATTCCAGACTTAAGTTAGACTACCATAGTTCCTCCCTTTCTTCTACTCTCTCCCTCTCTCTCTCTCAGAATTCACACAAAATGATCAGATACCTACTTATTATATATATATATATATAT